CAAATTTATTGTCAATTTATCTAGTAAGTTATGCAGATTCAATCGGCGTGTCAAGCGTCTGAAAAAGGAAATGTTTATGCAAAAAGAAAGATCTTAAAAAAGAAAAAGAAACAGAGAATTTTATATCTGCAGGAAACAATTAAGCTAGTTTTTATTTCTAACACGACATGGTTGAAAGATGAGGTAGATGCCATGTCTTTTTGTTGATAGCTTTTGAAGTTTTAATAATAAAGCTCACCTATAATCCAATCGGAACTAGGTGGTTTTTCGGAAGAAAAAAAAAAACTAAGTCCAAGTTGAAATAGTAATAAAAATAACAGTTAACACCAATTTAAAACATGATGATTCCAAAAATTCTTAATTTTGGATATAAACGGACACTTCTCTCTCAAGATTCCAATTTGTGACTTCTAACCTACTGGACACTCAATGTATAAGTAAGACATCGCTAGACCACAAGTTAATGGACAAGTATAAATTGAAGTAGAATTTCTCTAAGCCAAGTACTATATTTATATTTTGCGATCTAATCCCTCTCTCCCACAGAGGTTTCATCTCTTATTTCTATTGCTTTGACCCAATAGTACGAGATGACCGGTAGTTCATGAGAAAACTATACAAAAAAATTGATATTGTTACTGTAAAATATAATTTTCATTATCAGTGTGTATCTTAACTTATCGTAAAAGATAATGTGCTTTGGTTTTAACTTACTAATCTCACTTTTAAAAATAGTTATCCGTGAATGATATGATAATATAAATGTATTAACATTTTCATTATTATGATATAGAAGTTAAACTCAAAAGAAAAATGATTTACAGACAGAGACGTGAGGAGGTGGCAAGATAGAAATATGAAAGTAATAGTAGTAGTGTAAATTAGGAAAAAATTGCATAAATTAGTCGATATATGAAAACCGTGGGCTTTGTTCTATAATCTTTCTTAGCAGTTTTCTTCAAATTTGATGGGGTGATGCCTACAGAAAAAGCTTTGTCAAAGTTGATGTGATTGCCGGCCTCAAATATAGTTTGCTTAATAATTCAAAAGGATGAGAGGTGGGACACTAATCCTCAATTTATGGCCACTATCAAAGTCTTATCAACCTCAAGATATTTACAAAATATATTAAATTAACCTGAAAATATCTGCTGAACAGATGCCTCGAATAAAAATAATAGACAAAATAAAGGGAGAACAAATTAGGTTCACTAATCTCGTGAAAACGAGTCATCATTGTGTGTGAATTGTGATTTATAATAAAAGCAAAAGAAAAGTAAAGAATGAGTGGTGTTTGGCAAACGCAGACAAATTTGAATATATACATATATATTCTGTTTAATAGCTAAAGTTTTCGGCCGTTCGTCTATCTTGTCGAATTTGAACCACTCCATACAATTTTCCACACTTAAAATGACCTCAAATTGTTGTAGTCTGCAGCTTTCTACCATTTCTAAAATTAGAGGTGCTAAAAACGAGCGGTGCAACTAACATCTCTAACAAACCACTCACCATGGGTTTCTTGTGAGAGCCTAAAGGTTCCTTAGAAATCATTACATTCGGCTGGTTATTTCACGAAAATAACAACAAATTAATTATAATTTCACGAGTGAAATTGAGGAGGAAAAAAAAAAAACAAAGAGCAAAATCTGAGGAGGATAGTTATATGCCTACCTCATCCCACCTTAAAAAGATAGAAAAATTATTTTAGATAAACCATCGATTAAAGAAAACAAAAACAAAAAAAATCAGTAGCAGCAAACAATAATAAAAGATAACAAAAATCTAAAAAAAGGACACATAATTTGTTCAAACAAGTTATATTAATCAGATAGTGTAAAAATTACTTACTATTAAAGAATATAAATGAAACCCTTGCATAAATTGCAAAAGAGTAAAGATGTTCGCTAACTTGTACTAATTGATTTAAAATCTTGAATTCGTTGTAGTATTGAGAGAACGCTGGGACCAAATGGCAGTATATGTGCAGGTTATTTCGTTAGTAAACTAAACAATAACTCAAAGAGAAAGGAAGAAAAAGAAGTAATGCATTGTGGCAAGATATGTTAGAAATGTGTTTAAAAGCATTCCTCTTCTTAATATTAGTAGTTATTATCCTAAATAAATTACATACAGTAAATAAAAATAGCATATACTAGCAAATGGTCCTAACTCTGAAAAGATTAGTACTTAGAACAAATCCACTCTTATCCTATTAACTATCATCTGAAATCCACCGACTACAAGATTTGGGTAAAGGGTAAGTAACAAAAGTAGAAATGACGTAATGTAACTGAAACGAATGGTCAATCCGACGGTTACGACGTCTCCGAGCTTTCCAGATCAACGGTCCTTGAGTCATCACTGAGTCTACAGAGCTCGACGATCGCCGTACTGGAGCTTATCCTCTGCCGATTATTTCTCCTGATATACTCCATTATCGCCGTGCATCCAGGCGCCGTCAGCCGATCCGTTCGGTTCGCTTCCGTTCTCTGTATCTTAGCCGGCGTTCTCATTTTCGTTGATACAACAACGGCAGCTGCCTCGTCCCCGCTGTGTACCGCCACCGACGGCGTTGTGTGGATTTTCTGGCTACATAATGAGCTTCCGTTATCGTCCTATAACCATAAACACTAAGTTTTTAAGTATTCAACCTCACGAAAAATGAATATAAAAAACTGAAATAACAAAAGCTAGAAAAATCTCATACATCTGAATGAAGATCCGCATCATATTCACGCATTCGCTTCAACGAAACATTCCGACGGCCTTTAGATGAATCTTCGCTGCTGGATGAACTAGCCGGCGGTGGAGGCGGCGTAGATGACCACGGCACAACTTGATCAATATCCTCTTCATCGTCAATTTCCTCATCTTCATCCTCTTCATCATCATTTTCTTCATCCTCCGTGGTACTTCCTTCATCGTTCACGCTTTCACTCTCCTCTACCTCGTCCCTGTGGTAGTATCCATCTACGCACCTCTCACATACGGAAACCGTCGGTCCAAGTTTCGGCCCGTCCGCCGACCAAGCCGTCGGCGATTGACACACGTGGCAGAGCAAAGACCTAGAATGCCTCGCCGCCAGAAAATTAGCCGAGTGAACCTTCGCATCACAGTCCCAACACAAACTCGCGTTGTCCGATTCACAGTACATCCTAGCCAATCCCTTACAAAGCTCACAGTTTTTCATCCTTTTCTATATTCTCTTAGACAAAGAAATCAGACAGAGAATTTAGGGGAGAGAAAAAGAGGAAGCCAATTGCAGATGGAAACTGAAACCACCTTTACTTTAAACAAAAACCACAGAAACACCAAATTTTTTCTTAGAAACTACGGCGAGGGGTATAAATGTAAAGAATATGTGATACGAGGAAGACCTAGGGATGCGGGATGTGTATGTATGTATATAAAACGACAGCGTAAGGGGGAGAGGTGAATGGTGAGAAGGAGTGACAGGTGGTAGGTACGTAAGGGAACAAAAGCTTTTTTCTTGTGGCTCGGGAAGAGATGTTTCCTTTGGTTTGTACAGGATATTTTTTGTTGACGTGGAGATTTAGAGTTGGAGGAAGATTCTGATTTGTTGACGTGGAGTCATGGGGCCACGTGAAATGCGCCTGAAACGAAGTACTGGAGAGAAATTTGAATTGGTTGGGTGCTATGTGGGCCCCACCTCAAATCACATCTTGGACAGCGTAGCTTTGGATTAATTATGTGCTAAGGTAAATGAAATCGTTTACAAGGTAAATGTTTTGCCACGTGTCGATTTGTTGTAGACTTTTCATACGTCCAGATTCTCAGAATTTTAAATTTGTATGAAAGAAATTAGTCTGTAAGGGTCAATATGGTTAGTTGACATAAGGGGTGAAGGTCCAGAGATAAAGATAGTTGGTAATCGAATGTTTTGTTTTATACTAGACTAGTATATATGAATAGTGCGTACCACCTAATGACACGTGATGGTTTAAATATTTATTTATATGAATGAATAATAAAATTTAATTAATGAAATTTTTTTATGTATAATAAAATAATAATCATCTAAATGTCGAAAAATATTATTACATTAGCATAATAAATGAATTCAAAATAAAAGAACATTATCAGAACTTACACAAATGATCAATTAGTCATATTAGTTAGATAATTATGTATTGTAGTTTAAAAGAATTTAATGTGATGATATCTTATCGGACATTTTTTTGTAGACAATATTTTTTCATGTATGTTTTCTTCTAATGTTTTGGTTGCTTTGCCATAATGAGAACTATTGTTGTCGATATTGATATCTTTCTTGAAAGTGTAACATATAGTTGTTCGTGTAAGAAAATATACTGTGATAAATATATTCCAATATTTAGGATATTTATCCGTGTGCTTTATTTATTATAAATAAAAATGTACTGAAATTATTTTCACACAAATTTAAAAGGACATTCTTTAGCTCCGGAAGACGAAAGTTAAATTCGGGGATAAACACATACTTAAAAGTATATTGACCAGTATTATAATCCTTGCATGTATGTATAACGTTATTGTCAAAACTTCTATATACCATCCGTGTACTATTACATAAGCTATTCGGCAACTTTAAGTTTTTCAGTAGCATGGCATGCATATTTTTCTTCAAAATCAACCTATATGCAATGAAAGATCAATTTTTAACTTAGTCTAGTATATATACGGTGACACTAATATTTGTAAAAAATAATGAACTTGACAACATCTACCATTTGGTATTAAAATATTTAAGTATTTTTCTTGGTAGTAATTATTGGTATCATCTTTTTTTGAGTCAAAAATTAAAAAATATTTTATTTTTACCATAAAACTTAGCAATTAATCTTTTATGTAGTTGATTGACATATTCATTTCTGCTAGCTAATATAACCCTTTAATTTCTCTAATACAGTTTGCACAAATTACATTTTAATCTAATGTTGGAAATATTTTCTTTATTAAATGCATTACTATTAGTGTTGAGGTTGATAACCAAATGTTTTGGAAGAACCAAATCATTTTTATAGGATGTTCTTTTTCATTTCCGACACGAAGTAGGAAGTCACTTAATGCTGGATCTTTTCTTATTTTTATATTTCTTGTCAGTTGAATCTTTTCCATTTGAGACCATAAGTATATTTTTGTCAAGCTAGCTTTTACGGTCTCGGCTTTCGTCGATTTTGGAACTACTGGTTGTACTTGATAGAAATCACCTCCCAAATCATTACTTTTCCATCAAATGGTTCATTGATATCCAACGTATCTCTAAAACTCCGGTCAATTGTTTCAAGCATTTGACGCTTAGCCATATGCGCTTCATCACATATTATCAATTTTGATTTTTTTTTATAAATTTAGCACAATTGCTCTGGTTTGATATATTTGTAATGGTTATTTTAGTTGTTTGAAAAGGTATATCAAATCTAAAATGAGTTGTATGACCTCGTAATAAAATCGTTGCTGGTACACCACTTGTTATTCTTGAAAACAGTATCATACCTTTTGATCTAACATTTGCAAATAATGTATGACATAGGAAATATTATTTTGATTCCGCCAGATGCATCTACAAAGGATAATCTCGCTATATTGATCATGTCCAAAGCACACCTCAATAGAGATATGAAACAGTCGTATGCAATACTAAATACCCAACTAGGAGTCGGGGTCGAATCCTCTGGGAGCTAAGATGAGAGTTAGGGGTATATATTTCAAATGAGCAATTGGAGTATCTAGATTGCACTTTCACAACAAGGATTTGTTTTATAATTATACGGTTAATCTAATAATAGCAAAATAAATAAAATAGACTAGAGATAATTATTTTTAAGGTTTTTCCAAATGGGTAAAAGGCCTAGGGCTGTGACCATAACCCATGTGTTTGCCTAATGGGATAAAAATGTTAATATTTGTTTTGTTGATTGGGGTGTATTATAACTCTCAACTCGACATTACCCACTTAATATCTCTCGATCAGAGAGTGATTTTGCGCAATTTGGCTTTCTCAAGACCAAATGGGTATCATCCCAAAACAATTGATAATAGCTCAAGTCAGGTTATTACTATCTCTAGGTTGAACCCTTTAATTTAGTTAATCAATCTCTCAATTGACCCAATTCCTTGTTAGCTAAGTTATACTAAATTAGGTCCCTCTTTCTCAAGTAGAGACTAAGTCAAATAGGCATGAACTAATGTTTGCAATCATTAATTCTATAATTAAAGCATGAACCAAGCTAAATAATCAACACTCAATCGTAAACAAGATTTAAATGGGATACCCATAAAGTTTACACACTAGGGTTAGGTCACAACCCTAGTAAAGGTCTAGCTACTCATAATGAGTTTTGAAGAAAATAAGGAAGAAAAACTAATTAAACTCATAATGAAAGCTTGAAATGATTAAATCTAATGTAAATACACCAAAGTAATGTAAAACTTCCTAAAGTAGTAAAGAAAAACGGCTACAACAGCTTCATATGTTCAAACTTGACCTAATTTTGTGAAACTCATCTATTTATACAAGGCTGAAAATCTCAAACAAAAATATCCATCGGGAGGTTCTGCGGCCGCACAATTCCATGTGCGGTCCAAAGATTTCTTCATCTAGTAGGAAATGGAGTTATGCGGCTGCATTTTTTGAACTGCGGTCGCGAAGCAATCTTCCGCGAACGCACATTTCTGGGCTGCGGCCGTAAGGCAACTCTTCTGCGGCCGTACAATTCTTGTGCGATCCGCAATTCACAGAGGCTTATACACTTTGTCTTTTTGCATACTCTATGATCTTTGACTCTTAGACCAGTTTTTCAGCCGCATAACTCATGTGCGGTCCGCACTTTGCGCAAAGTTCTACTAAACTTCTCTCCTTGGTTTGCGACCGCAGGTGAAATTCTGCGGTCCGCAATTTTTTTTGCGGCCGTAGAATTCCTTATGCGGACCGTATATTTGTGCTTCTGCGCCCTTTATTGCCCTGTACCTCAAAATACACCTTTTTGAGTCAGATTTCATCTCGGGGGACTAAACTTCCAGCTTTTCTGTAATTTTGTACAATTTCATTAGTTTCGGGAACATAGTTCAACGCTTTTGGACTAAAACAGAAGCTAAAAGGCGCTAATAAGCAATCAAAATCCACACTTATCAATTCCCCCTAACTTAAGTCTTTGCTTGTCCTCAAGCAAATAAATTAATTCCCACCTTCAAAAGTTAAGGGTCATTTCAGCGAGTTAAATGTGAGCCATCCACACATCAATTAGGACCAACAATTACCTTCTCTACTCATCTATTATCAACAAGGAGACAAGTTAAACATTCATGCACGTATAGTTCTAATGTGATATTTGAGCTTCAAGAATTGACTGTACTCATCAATGACTCTTGCTCTATCATGTAGGTCATGGTGGACTCAAACTCTTCCTCCTTTACTTTCCAATTGCCTAGCTCACTTAAGAAATTTAGTATTCAATCCGAAGATTTATGAAAGGTTCACTCATCTCTCTCAAAAGAATGTCACAAGTACGACTTCAAGTACCATAGGCTTGCCCCACATGTAGATCATCACTAATATAAGCTCACCCGGCTTAAAATCAAGTAAGACTTCTTTCGGGATGTAATGAAGGCTTTTGGATTAGGGTTGGATACAATATGGGTGAGTGATTACACCTTTCTTAAGCACTCCATTTTCTACTTCTCGGCTCACACTTTGACAATTCTTTGAGGCACTTTCTTTTCCTTGGGGGATTAGAGAGACTTAACTTCACTCTTTCTTAATCCTTACATTCGTTTTCTCCATCTTTGATTTTTTTCATGTTTGGGATCATTACCTGTCTTTGAATCCTTTCAACTCTTCCCCCTATTCATTTTTGTTTTTGTATTTTTCTTTTTGTTCTTTTCTTGCCTTTCCTTTTCATAATTTCTTTTCTATTTTTGTGCCTTGATATCTCTTTCAAGTTCCTCGTCTCTCCCCCCAAACTTATGTTTTTAGCCATTTGTTATAAAAGAGTGCTAAGGAAAGCTCGGGTGCCAAGAGAGGGTCACGACAAAACATGTAAAGGCTTGTAACATGGTTATCAAACAAGAAAGGCTAGAGGCTCAAAGGGGTTGACTAGGGATAATGACATTGGTTAGCAATAGAAAACTCAAACGGGCCAAGGAGGGCCTACAATCATTTTTCAAACCAAGCAAACTTAGGATTTCGCCTTGAAACATATTCGGGGCAAGTTCTAGACCCTTCGCACGGATATTTGGACTAGCAACAATTCATCTCACCCCTCACGCAACCGGATTGTTAAAGAGGACAGAGTCAAGGGCCCACAACGACCACATTCAAGTTTAAAAAATCATTATGGTCTAATTAAACCACTCGATGATTGCCAAAGTCAACACAAGAGTCACAAAGTCACTAACTAGAGCTATTTCTTT